CACACTCATAATAATATTATACAATATCAACTCTAAGACGGAATATCAATCTGTTTAAGTGCGATAAATGTAAATACCTACGTCGTCGTACACACATAATATACCTATTAATATGCATAAATATTAAATATATATTATTATTATTATAACATTATGTTGAGCGGTGAGAAATAAGCCGAAACGTACAGCGGCAGTCGCCCGTAGGACGTGATGTATTATGTATGAAGTGAAAATGAAATTATAAACTATGTATTTAGTATTTACCTATAGTGCACCGTGCCCCCAAGTCGAAACAATGAGCGACAAATGTGACGCTTTAAGTGGGTGCAAGCGTCGGTAAAATGCACAAATAACCCTTCGTGTTCTACAATATTATATAATATACCTACGGTCTTATTCAGTCACGCCCGGTGGGGGGGGGGGGCAGGTGGTGCAGATTCACCACCCGAGAATTTTAATGATTTCGATTTTTCTAATAAAATATAAAAACTCCTTCTCTGTTAATTTATAATTTATGTCCACTTATTATGCCCAATATGGTAAATACCTATTCTCACGAAACAGACTCAGGGGTTTAAGTGGGGGGGGGGGACGCAAGAAAACTCAGTCCCCCTACCTCTGACGGTGGTTAAAAAGCGTCCCCTTTAACAAATTAGGATTTTATACATTAGACATTATACATACAATTATATATGGAACTCTTAAAACTATATGGAGACATTAGTCCCCTCTGGAATTTTTTCCCACTTCAACCCCCGGAAACAGTCATATGTCGAACTTTAGTAAAGGATTTAAAAAGCACCCCCAGCTTATAACATATTGTCACTAAAAGTATTGTGCACCCAGTGAGCTACTTATCTGCGGGCTTATATTACGGATTAGTCCGATTAAACGTCTCATTATATACATGCACATTATTACTAAAATATTATGACAATGTTTGATTTAAAAATAATATTGTTGTCCGAACATGGGTGGAGCATTTAAATTCGATTTAAATTACCGCGTGTATTAATTGTTTGCGTGTTATACATATATGTATATGTAATACACACACACACACACCACAATATATATATATATAGGCACTACGCCCTCGATCCTATAATACATGTTGTATTATAAATATTAAATAACACATCCACGGTACCTACACGTTTAATATTTCGTATGCGTTCCGTCTGGTACTATCATTATAATAGTTTTTTTTTCGGTTGCACTGCCAAACTCAAACGGAATAATACATATTCATGTTATATTATTATTATTATGTACATATTATTATAATATTAGAGCGATTGAAATTTTAATTAGTCGCGATTATGTCGTGTCCCGTACACGGTGTCGCACACACTCACACGCGTGCGATGCGCATTAAATGTGCCCATAGATTAAACGGCGCTGCAAAAGTTTTCCATAATTTCAATTTAAAATCTGTTTGTAGTTCGTATGTAGATATTATCATTATATTAACCGAATGCACATATCATTACGATATCATTGCATTACATCGGGTATAATAATCTACGCGGCGTTCTGAAATTAATTAAAGGTCCGAAGGTTTCACGAATATACTAAAAACCAAACTTAAATAATATTATTACTTAGCCGGGCCGCGTTCATGGCGAGGGATGGGTACCTGCGATAATTCTGTACCACAGCAGACATTATATATATATATGTCTATATGCCCCGGTATACACATATTTCGTAGCAGCGCAATACTATATATTGTCTATATTACAGTAGGTATAATAGCCGTATAATAGGACGTATACCCACGCGAGTTGTGATTAATAACGTCCGACCGATATAATAAAACACATATAATACCACATTTCTCCACGTATATTCTGCGTCAGTGGTAGTGACAGGTAATTACGACGAAAACTATATTATACATATACCTATACATTCTATTAAATAAGTCAATAATTGTATTAGTGTGTATATTATTATTTCTTTTGAGTTCAAAAGTTTTGGAATAATACGAGATCTCTCGGGTTTGATATGCCGGCTTAGGGTCTACAACCGTTGACCTCGCATTACCTCCGTGAGGTAGTTTTTCGAAAAACAGTTGCGCACTGAATTGTAATAACTAAGGGAGAGCGTACGAATGATTTTATTTCGACGTTGGTGTTGTTTTTATTATTTTTTTCCCCCCATCAAAGGCTGCTCTCGAAAAACCCCGAATCAATACGGTTTTAGACAAAAAAAAAATATGTGGGGCGTTTGAAATGTCGTTGCTGGGGATGTCACAACGCCAAAACATCCCTCCTGCGACACTATATGTGTATACCGAGTGATCCGTTTAACGTAATACTCATATAGTTTTAAAAACTACCAACATTTTTGAAAACATTGTTTTTACTATTTGTTATCGTTATTTTTTTCTAAGTACGTTTTTTATGACAACGTGAATTTTTATTCTTTATTCCAAAGTAGAATATTTTGTAGGGTACTTTGGTGTATAAAAATAAAATTTTGGATGAGTAGTTTATGAGCTATTACTTATTAGCGTGGGCGCCCGGAGGGGGGTTCAAGACGGGGCATTTGCCCCTACTGGGATTTAAATATAATGTTGAAAATGTTAACTAAACTGTTTTTAGTGTACTTTTTGGTGTTTGCTTTCATTATGGCCCTCCCTGATGAATTTCCTGAAAGCGCCCATTATGCTTATTAGTTAAACTATGCTTATTACTTATTTAGTTATTAGTATAATATTTTAAAGCTTAAATATGCCTTGTGGAGTAATACAGAAGTACCTGCAAGGGTTCTATTATAATTTATAACTTGTCCGAAATTTGATTTTTATAAATCGAAAAACACCGAATAATGTTCTGCTTCAGAATAATAAAAAATAAAACGATTGTATGTTAGGTACCATTGAAAAGAATGAAAACCTTTAAAAAATTATAACGATGAAAAATAATAAAAATATAATTGTTTCCTAAAATATCGTTTTGTATGACGACCTAAAATTATGTAAAAGAAATATTTTCAAAAGCGTTCAGTGTTTTCTGAGAAAACAAATAACTTACGTTAAATGGATCACACCGTATACATAATACCTATCACTTGCAGCCCGCGTACGAGTTAAATTGCAACAGTATAATATAATATAGGTATATATTATATATTGTATTGAAACTTACCCCGCAGCGAATTTTCCCCGTTTTATTAATATATCCGCATCACGTGTACATATATAGAAAGGAGTAAGTCGGGACATAGAAGGTACACTCGAGTAGGTATAATGTATATATATATAAATACTTTTTTTGTTTATTTCGTTTTCAACATATTATATCGAATGTTTATTAACAGTACGAATATATATAGTTTCGTCGGTATTATGTATTATATGTGCACAATATATACATCCGGACGTGCCTTCCGTTCGGAATATATCTTGAATCGACATACAATATAGGTGTATATATATAACATACAGTTAATAAACCCTACATATATATGCACATTATATGTGTTTGTGTGTGTGCATGAGTGTAGTATATAAGGCGTAGTATATATACCCTGTAAAGTGGAGCGGGCGATTTGTGTCAGAACTTTTCGGCCCCAAAACTTTATTGAATTCTGCGCAACGCACGCGTGCAACGCTGTGGTGGGTGAAGTGGTGGACGGCGGACGTGCATAGTTTTCAAATTTTAGCAACACGCTTTTTCGCCGACGACGTTACTGCAGCAGTCGTAATTTATTATTCGTATCGTATATAGGTATACGTATATGCACAATTTGAAAACGTTTATTTCATTTATATATTTTGTTGTGGCGATGGATGACAGATGTCATAGTAGGTATACACGAAACGAGAAAATTAAATATTGAATAATACCGCAAGTTCAGACTTCCGTTGTCTTTCGAACGCAATATGACACACGCCGCTCTCTATTAAATATTTTCAGTTTATTTCGTAGAAGTTTTCGAAAAACTATTCGACGGTTTTGGTTTATCGTAAGTAGTTTCGTCGTTAAACCTTATTTTCGTTATTTGTTTAGATGCCGCTAAACTGCCTAGCTAAATAATGGAGCTGTCATAATATAATGATTGTTGACGGAATAAAATGGTCGTAGAACAGTAAATTCTTATTTCTTTCGAAAAGCTCGGTTTTGTGTTTTTATTTGCGTTTGGAAATACTTCATTTTTTCACTAATGAAGTATGCAAAGGGTGTAAGTAAGAAAATATCTTCACGGGTAAAGTGTTCTTCATTCGTAGAAACTAATTGTTGACTTACAATTATTTTACCCTACATACAAAAAACTTGTTGTTTTAACCAATTTCGTACGCTATCCCAACAATCGAAGTTGTTACTAGCTGTGATATGAGACCGCTTTTGAATTTCATTAAAAATTCAATGGATGAAACAACTTTGATATCGGTAGTATTGCGCGTGTCGAGTTTAAATATTAACCGCAATGTAGGTATTTCGCAAAACATTGATCCTTTGGGTTTGTATGTTGCTCATTAAATCAGATCAATACGAAGAATATAAATTTTGCAAGCCTAAAGTCGTTATACGACCACGTTATGACGAGACTATAAGACAAAATGCTCATCCAATATAATAAACAATAAACTCGTACTCCTATATATGTATATAATATATATTTATGTGTTCGTGTGTGTATTATTGGGTAATGCATTTTACAACAATCCAAGCCTGAGCCGTCTCGAGCCATTTGGCGCCTTCAGCTAGGGCATAAAATTGTCTTTATCGAACGTTTGGTTAACTATATTATTTTATTTTATTTATTTGAGGGATGATAAAATAATCATGTGATGGAATTGATTCGATAAATTCACAGACGCAAATTGTACACATTTCAATCACACGCGATCGCATTATCACCAAGCACAATAAAACCTTAACTCATAAGCTTTATCCGCTCCCCCCCGACCTCAACCCTCTGTATGCACAAGACATTTTTCAATCACGTCGTTTGCTTATAAATTACAATTAATGAATCTATGTCGGCAGGTTTCGTGACTCCGGTCGAGGTGCATTTCGACAACCCAGACGGAGGATTCTTCGTCCGGCACCCGATTATTGGAGGTCCCGGCAACAACCGACAGCAGCAACAGCAAATGGGCGGTGGCAGCGAGGACGACGACGGCGACGACGACGTCGGCGGTGGTGCCGTGCTCAGCGTGGACAGGTTCACCGTGTTGCAGGACGTACCGCAGACGTCGATCAGGGCCAGTTACGGGCCGTTCTCTACCAAGCAAACGGTACCGTCGCGTTACCTGATACCAGATCCGAACTCGGCCGGCATGTCCGGTGGCGTTAACGGTTCCGGTTCGTCGGTCGGCTACTCGTCGGCCGTGGACATATCGTCGATGGACGTGTCCGCACACCTGGTGCAGAGGCGCGTGTACCGCGAGAACCCGGTGGTCCGGACGCTGTTCCACGTCGGCTACAGCGTGGTCAGGTCGCAGTCTGCCGGTTCCGGTCCTCCGCCTCCGATGCCGCTGTCCGCCGGAGACGCGGTCGGCGGTGGTTCCGGGCGGTCGGCTTCCGGCTCGTCGTCGTACGGTAAACTGTGCGCGGTGGCCAAGGCCACGTTCGAGGGAGCCGAGCGGCCGGTCACCGCGGCTTGCAAGCCCGACCCCAAGGACGGCGTTTGCACCGCTCGGCTGGTGTTGCCGGCCAAATGGTGGCCGCCGCTGAACCCGCCGGACGCCAAGCCGGTCAAGACGCCGCAGCGGTACGTACAGATCTCTTACGCGCTGCTCGAGTCCGACCACCGGTGCAGTCAGTCGGACGTGCAGCTCCAGCCGTTCACTTACATCGGACAGGCGGCCCTGGAGCACGCCCAGCGCCCGTACAAGGAGCTCAAGACGGACGCGTACCTGTTGACTCTCGTCCCGTCCGTCCCTCTCTATCCCAAGTCGTTCACGTACGTGCCCGTGTTTTTCGACGCCGGACCCAAGGAGCAGAACATCAAAGGGTTTATTCTCAGGGCCAAAGTGAAGAACGGGCTGCGGGTGTTGAGCGCCGAAAACAGCGACCCGGAACGATGGACCATCAACTACACGTCGAACCCGAGGGGCACTCAGATCACGGTGACGGCTGTGCACAAGGGGCTGCCCACGACCGCCGGGTCTACGTGGCCGAACTCTCGGTACGAGGAGGTGTTGCAGTGGTTGCTGCAGGTGGACTCGGAGGCGGAGGACGTGTGGGAGGAGGGCCGGGTAGTATGGACCGTGCAGTACGTCATGGAGGCGGCGGGTAACGTGACCAACTGGACGTCGGCCGCAGCCGTTCAGGGAAACCAGCCCAAGGTCGACCGTCACCGCGCCGCGTACAAACATCACCGGCGGCAGGCGGCCGTGTTGGCCGGACGGAGGAGGACGGCCCGGCTATCCGGGGCCGCGACCAAGATGCTCTACCTGGACGGCGTCAACGGCGTGTTGGACGGCGTCAAGCGCAAGATTTCCGCCCGGTTTGAGATACACAAGGACGACACCGAAGCTGTACTTCCCATATCCAAGGTAAGTCCGTCTGATATTTTGTGTTGTAAGATATTATTACTGTGCTGACTGCCAACGGTGTCACGTTAACACCACTCTAAAAACAATCCCCCTGACGTTTTCCTAAAAAACTGGTCGAGTATTTTTTGAATCTGTATGCTACAAACATACGGACTCTTTCATTTTCCGTTATATTATAATACAATACCAGTGAAAAGTGAAACCCCCGGAAAAATAGGTTTATGTGCAGCTATGGATGAGGTTCATGCAATATTACATTTAATATAGTGTATATTTTTCTACAAATTATAGTTGAAATAAGTATACAGACAAACATAGAACATAATTTCATTGTTAATCTTAGAAGATACAACTTATCAAACTATCATCATGCGACAATTATTCTATTCATAAAATTATCAATGATGATTATTTGTTTTGAAAATAGCAAGTTAAAGTATCATATTTTTCTCCTATTAAAGCGAATATCATTCTTTGAGGTAATAAGCTTTTTATTAAAAAGGTTTAGACCTAGATAGTCGGCAAAAGATTTTTTACTCTTTTAGTATATTTAACAGACTTATTGGACATTTTTGAATACCAGAATTCGGATTTGAATTTTTGGAGACCCCCTATCCTCCTTTTTCAACTAGAATTTTCAACATCTATAATTTTCACTTTTATCAAAACCTCACAACATTTCTCAAAATGTGTTTACTGATTTTCAAGGGATTGCAGAGTTCTTATTTTTACTATTTTAACTTAATACATTATATAGTATATCTATTATCATTATGAACTACCTAATATATATTATCAATATCATACAATTAATAGTATAGCTTTATGATAATTAAATTGATAATCGTGGTTATATCTATTCTCTACAGTATAAACAACACATTTGTACTTATGATATTATTATATTTGTTTACATTTTGATACTTTATTATGATTATCTTACTTTTTAATTTTAGTAGCACTAATAGAGCGTAGAGGTACATATATTTGCAAATGTGTCCGTGTGTAATATATTTGTATACACATTGTACAACTATTTAGATACTTAATGTTAGTATGTAAAATTGTAAAACTATGAAAAATTGTGCCAGGGAAAAACGATTCTCATTCTACTCGTAAATGTTTCGCTGCAGATGAAAATTCTCTAGAGAAAACGGAAAAACTATCTCTTTAAAGTAGTAAATAAATGTAGTAGTGATTCAGTAGTAGGTAATAGGTATATACCTATACTAAATGTAATTTACCTAGTACTTCTTAATCCGCTCTCTTAGTTCGAAAAATGGGAACGTGTAATCATATATGATATGTTTTTGTAAGCTTGAAATCGAATTAAAAACGTCTTGTTGCGTCTTAGCAATACGGTTCTTTTGTAATAACTGTCAGCAGCTGCAGTTGTGTATGTAGTGTTGTCGGCGAGTTTCCCACGACTACACGTGCAAATGGTAACACAAAGGACGACCCGTGCCGCCGGGCGCGTTTATAAAAACCAACCGAAAACCTGGCGTGTTCGAGTGGGTTAATTATCGCGAGGAACCTCATCGTAAATCCAACGATTACGACGTTTTAGCAAGAGTTTATCGTCCGAAGACGAGCTCCCGACCAAACCCGGTAATAGCGGTAACGAAATCGTATTTTCGAGTCTATACTGTATAACACAATATAGAGTCATTTTTATACGCATACACGAGCGCCGGTGTACTCCGATTTTCTCGCTCGTATTATGGCGTGTACGACACATGCGGCGAATCAATTAATAGGGATTTCGTGTTATCGCGGTCTGGGGTCCCGACCGTTTTGCAAGCGGTATATTATACGACTACTTTTCGAATCCCCAGTGAACACCGTCCGTTTACGGCGCACCATGAATCACCGGGCAAAGGGTTAGTCGGTTAGTGCGTATCATACCTGGTACCTATACCTGTATGAAATATGTGTACCATATGTATTTCGGTACCCAGCGGATGGGGCAATGACAGACCGATTGGCTTCCGGGGACGAGTATGGAAGACCGAAATTTGTCATCGTCGTGTGGGACGGGTGCAGGTGCCGTGTTGCATCCGTGAAACGTGCATCTGATACAGGTGGGTGTGTGTGCAGAGTGAGTGAGTGTGGGTGTGTGTATAATATAGTGTATGCAGGTCGCCGGGCTGTAAAATAATTTAGATCCCCCCGAGAATTTCGTGGAGTACCTAACTGATTTGCGCAGGGAATTACGTATCCGAGTGAAATAACTCACACCGCGGTGTCATTACGGAAAATTAATATTTCAATGGCCCGCGGGGGGTCGCCGCTGCGGTGCCTATTTTATTGCTGCCTCTAAACGTTTATTATAATTGATACAACTGCAGTAATAGTATATACGCAGTATACCTACGTTTTAAGATTTTAGAATAGATGAAATTTGATTATTGTGCACATTATATTTGTACAGAACTGGGAAATAATCAACACTGCCGTATTGACCGGAAAGCAGATATCGCACGCGATGAAGGTGTTCGTGGTCAGCTACGCTGGCAAAATATCCGACGTCACCCGACAGTCCGTGTGTCAGATAGAGGACGACAGCGTGCTTAAGGTAGGCTCCATAAATGCTATTAATGTATAATAATATAATATATCATTCGATAAAGTAAACGAGTAAACATATAGGTAATATATTATTATTATCATGGCGTAAATCTTCTAACCGACCGGTACCCTTTGAATACATAATATTATGATATTTATGCATTTAACGCGTTCCCGTACAGGTCACGTCTTCATGCAGTTCGGTGTACGTGGACGGATCGGAAATCCGGGGATCGTCCAATGCTACGGTGATCGTCAAGTACGAAACGTATACAGGCACGGCGCATTTCATCGTGTGGGTGCCAGAAATCAATGAAATGGACCTGACCATTGCCGACCAGAAACTGAACCAGATCAAAGGCTGGCGGGTACCGGTGAGCCTAGAGGCCGATGACGACATGGACGAGTGAGTTTCGATTTTATTTTCTACTGCTAAGTCTAACAATGTATAGTTTCACCTGACTGTATGCCAAAGTCGTGTGTTGGGCAAAGTATACACAAAGTATAATATCATAAATTATGTGATTTTCGCAGTTACGTCAACAAGTTGAAAAGGTCAGCCGAGGGCAAAGGTGGCGCTCACATGAAATCACCGATGCCGGACGGCGATTTCCGGTTGAACGAAATGATCACCGAGGATATGGTTGCCGATGCATACGACAGAAAGACCAGCTGCCAGTTGAGATTTCAACAGACGTCGGTCGAGGTAAGATAACATTATAATAACCATAGGTACCCATCTGAGTCCCTAAAATTATACATAATATACTATAATGGTTAGATAAATTATTTAAATATATCATTGAACACCTTTTCAAGGACACAGTTTCAGTTATATTTAAAAGTTATGAATAAAACACCACAGTGCCACATATTATCTTATATTTATTTATTTTTAATCTATTTTTTTTATAAAACATGACGTATTAAAATATTCGAAAATTGTCAAAAATCTAAAATAATAGTTACATAATTACATTTTTAGATATATGAAACGAATTTCGTGCTAGAAAAGCAATGTTTTTTATAAACACACTGAATAAAATACATATGTATTGCAATCGAATCACCGCATCCTAATCATCTTTATAACGCATAGGTACTATTATAGTATGATATAAAACCTGCTGGCTAATATTTCGATTATTCACATTATTCATATAATGCATAATTGTAATGATTATTCACAATAATTTTCGAGTTGAAAGAAAAAACATACAAAACAAAATTATTCATCACCTTTCTTAAATAAACGATTACCATGAAAATAAATTATTCGATTCTTTGCAAAATAAAAATTACTCAAACAATAATTGTTCATTAGGCCATAATACAGTTTTATTAGCTTGTATTATTCTCGGTTAATGAAAACTCCAAACTCGTAAAAAGTTTGGGGAAAAAAACTTAAACAACAGTACTAAATAATCAAGAACAGTAGAAAAGAATAATAGTCTTTTGTAAAACGACTTTTCAGTGCTTTCATTTTATGAACACAATGTTCGATAAAAGTGAAAGTTTTTTTTATTTTTTCCGTTCATTAGCCAACTTATACAACGGCTAATTGACCTTTATCATTGAATTACGAGAATTTATTACATTATCTAAGACACTCTAATCTCCATCACGAGGAAAATACGAAAATGTATTAATTATAGTTAGTGATAAAAATATAAATATAACCCGCTATGGTTATCAAATTAGTTTGGTTTTTATACGAATTTTGAGAAAATGTATACCTACCTTATAAAATATGAATAGGTACCTACGTGAGTCATATAATACGTTTTAATTAACAATTTAAAAACGATTTATAAAAAAAAAAAAAAACAAAAAAAATCCTTAATACAGTATAAAAACGTGGGATTTTATAAAAACAGGGATTTTAATGAATTAATATAAATTAAATCCTAACTCGGGATTAATTGGACAATGGCCATCGTAAATATAGTCGTCGGGGGAAAGCTCGCATAATAATATATGTAGCTGTATAATCCCGGAAAGAGGCGTATTATTCCGTACGGCTTTATCTCTGAAAACATCCTATTCAAACATTTCAAACCACACATGTCCACCGCAGAAAAAAAAAGAAATAATCATAATAAAAACTAATGAACAGCTACAATACGCACTCGAATCAGAGTGAAACGAGTTAGAATCACTGCGGTATCACACCCTCCACCGTCATAATATATAGGTAAGTACATTTTCTGGGCTCTCGATATAGGTACGTGGTTGTAATACATTTGCTCCTACATATCGAATTACGTGCAATAATTTTTATAAAACGTAATACCATGGAGTGTGTAACCTAACCTAACCTATAGCACTGTCTATATACTCCACGGTGTATAATACCATATGACTTGATGTAATGTAATTTTCGAAAATCACGTGCTTCGAGTTAATCGTCAGGGTGTATATTATTATTATTATTCTAAATCGACGCTTCCGCATTTAAATAGACTCTTTGAAATTGGCTGTCCTTCAAGTGTACCGAGTAGAGATTTTCTCGTATTTCCTCGAGATCACACTTATATTCAAGTATATAGGTTATAATCGTTTTTAATTTTCAATATATAACAATTCTATTGCACGTGATAACTAATTCGGATTTTTATTATTATTAGGTAGGTATGTAAAAATATCTTCGATTTTTATTTTTGATTAAAAAATTATTTATGATTCGAACTAATCCCAGCAAAACTATATGGATATCGTGACTCACAATATCCTGCAGCGATTTGAGCACTGTTAAATTTAATCATAATGTATTATATTATATTTATTTGTTTATAATTCATAAGGAGACAAGGTCCAATTATTACAATAACAATTAGTATACGATATAATTAAAAATAGAGCTCAATTTATATCTCTTTTTAATTTATAAAATTAAAAATTTTAACAAAAGGATCGATGTTATATATTATATTCGCTGTAGTACGATTGATAGGTGAATGATACCTTTAAAAATTATTAAGCAGTAGATAAAAACGAGTAAAAGAAATTAACAATTTCTCTAACTTATTTTTAGATAGGTATCTTGAAAGTAATCACAGTTAATAATTCCTAGAAATCAATGAAATTGTTGAGAACCTTTTACAAAAAAAAAATTTAATTTTGTTTTTATTGGTCTTGAGCCGGTCAACTATGGCTATTAGCTATTGTAGGTTTTACGGTTGGTATGGTTGGTTAGTAACACGTGTACCTATCTGTGGCAAGGCTTTTTCCACTATCGACCCGGGGGTCATCCATCCGGGAACTGGTAGCAGCGGCCATTACTTACTCTCATCATAGCTTACTCTTACAGCCACTGCACCGCTCTGAACTACAAAAAATAAATTTGTTACTCCCTATTTCTAAGGTATTTAAATTTAAGACATTTAGTAATGTTGGAATCGAACATACTAGGATAAGTGTGGTTCTCTATAGATATAATTACAATTGACGGATACAAATCTTAAAAATCTATTGCTTCTAGAGCTCTTCGATTAAACCGAACGGATATAAATATGTCGTGACACTGACCTAATGCTAGCATTTCGTGTCGTTTGCAGATATACGCCAGGTTCAAGGCGACTGACCACGACTCGGGCCGGGTGAGCTACTTCGTGAACCGTCGGACGTGGCTAAAGGTGACCGATCTGCTGCTGCACTACCTGCGGTCGTCGGACCCGCGGGTCGCGTCCATCACGGGTCAGATCGTGCGTGGCCACAACCCAGGCCGGACAGAGGTCCAGGTGATCTCGGCGCTGTCTGGGCACGTGCTCGTGTCGAAGGAGATCCGGGTGGTCAGCGACAAAGTGAGCGTGGCCCGGCTGGCAGTGAACGTCGTGTCCGGTCTGCAGCTGAACATCCGGCCGGACGCGGCCGTTGACAACAACTACATCGCCGAGACGTCCGTGACCAGGAAGCTGACGGCCAAGTACCAGGAGGGCCTGCTGGACATCGACCTGTGGTTCACGGACGACACGCGCACACCCCTACGGTCGGTGGCCATGTCCGACTACGCACTCCGCGTCGAGTCAACCAACCCCGACGTGGTGGCGTTTGCCCCGATGGCCGCCTCTCCTCACCCTAGGGTCATAGCAGTGGGTTCCGGTAAGGGGCAGCTGCTGCGCGTTTCGTTCGGCCCTCCCGACGCTTGCGGCAAACACGAGCCGGTGGCGGTCAGTGGGGGCCGGAAAACTGTTCTGCCGACCACGCTCAGCGAAACGGCGGCCGAAGTCCAGGTGGACTTTTCTTCGTCTCCGTACTCGGTCGAACAGTTCGTTCAGAACGACGGCGGTGGTGGCGGTGGCAGTGGAGTGCTGAACGTAGGACCGCCTCGTGACAAAAAGGATCACAACAAGGACTCGGCGGGTAAGTCGGTCTACGAAATATTAAAGTGTAATGTGTGAACAATAACAACACAATATAATAACAATAATATGTAACGAGGCATATTATACTATACTCTTTATGCGAGAGCGCACTTTAAAGGCGAGTTCGCGACGACATTTCTAAGACAGTGAAATTTGTAACGCGCATTTATAGTCGTTGTCCGCCACATAGTTTTCATTTTTTACTTTTATCATCCACTTCTTCGTTTTGTAACGATCATCTTATTATAGTTACAGTGTGCGTTTCTATCACTCTATCCGTTATTACTATTACAGTATTACAACCACAAAGACCTACGCCGAATCTCCATTTTCATTTCACCCACGTTTTTATTTATTTTTTTGTTTAACCTCACAAAGAACTTTTTCTCTTGAGCATTTCGCGTCACGTCGAGAGAATTAAATTGAACACGATTGCCACTGTGCGCAGTAGCTAGGTACTCAACTTATAATGTCCACAACAATTTGAAATTGGGTTGCATAAAATATAAATAATATAATGTAGGCACTTAAGTTCTCGACACGCCAACAGATTTTAATTTATTTCTAATATTCGTTCACGAAGATGACATATTTCGTATTGCGATCGATTTTTATGGTTTATCTTTCACGTTAAAATATTAAATAGGTGAGTGAAACAATAAATGTACTCCTGTATAATATAGTTTCAGTTATTCCGTCCATTAGTGTACAATTACCCGATACACAGTGTTATATAATGTTATTTTTTATGTCAATTTACTGTATAGACTTTTCTCACTTTTATATACCTAACAAAATCATCGGCAATATTTTTAATTTTACGGTGGATTGTTCTTTTGTTACATATTTGATTATTGTTCTCGATTATAATTTTTATGACATAATAAATCCAATAAAAGCACTCTAAACTATTTTATCGTCAAACCGTGACTACTTTTCGAATTACTAACTTTCACATTAGAACACAATATAAGTGGTGCTAAATTAAATTTAACGCCGCGCGCACACACCGGAATTGGATTAATACAGTTTATTGTTTTAGACCGTATATACGTTCGCTATTTCGCTTGCAGAATAGTTATTCAAATTCCATAATACGTTTACAATTTTAATTAAAAGATGTTTTGTCAACAACTTTGCATAGTATTCGCGGCGATTTAAAGGGAATATTATAATATACATGAGAGGCTTTTGTGATGCGAATTTCGAATTGCACGTTACTCCATTGGATTTTATCACAACGCGATTCGAAAAAATCGTAATCGCTCTGCAATGCAGTAGACGCGCCTATATAGAGCTCCATCGTCCCATAGCTAATACGAATTTTTTTTCATCCTACGATTAGGAATGGCTGGCATTATAGACGAAAACAACGATGAACCCACAGTGCAAGCTCGACACACCTATAACAACGTCGTCAACCCTATCACCAACAGTATTGGGAGCACAACTGTGCACGCCCACAAAGTACCCTCTCAGGTGAGCCCGTTTGAACTCGGCATGTACACCCTGTTGGCGGCTCTGTGCTTCGCCATCGTGGCGTTCGTCATATCATGCGTCGTCTACGCATCCAAATACAAACAGAACTCGTTGGAAATGCCCACTACCACATTGATGAGTAAGAACCGTCTATTCGGTTGTATTATATTTCGAATGCACGGATGCGAATTTACCGCGGAAAATCGGCTTGAGAATGACGTATTTATATGAAATTAAAAAATTTGCCGGTCATTCTCAAGTGCAGTTATAGACTGCGGTGAATTTATATCTGTTTTCAAATCGTAATATTTTATTTTATAATCATACCTAAAAAATATTTATTATTGTGTTTTTTTTTTTTAGCAAAATCGTTCATGGGTAACATGAACGGGGCTAAGGACGGCTGTGGAGGCATTGGCGGTGGTGCTGGCAGTGCCAAACCTTTGTCAGATGAACCGACCATGAACGCCCACGATTGGGTGTGGTTGGGCAGATCAACGTTGGAACGTTCGTCCGGCATGCTGGTACCGTCCATGGGCAACAAATCACACAACAACAACAACAATAACAACAATAATAACAACAACCAAATCAACGAGCACAACATGAGAATTATGTCAAACCCAATTTATGGCGTGGACAACAACGGTAGTGGTAACATCGGTAACCACCAGCAGCAGCAGCAGCAGCAACAGCAGGTTTGCAGCAGAAATCCTCCTCCGCAGATCAATACTTCCACGTACAGCGTTAAGGACCGGCTGTCCAACGGCAATATCGTTTTCAATAAACTATGGAAAGTGTAAGTATCAGTTTTAACGACAAAGAGATTATATTTTAGAGATTCGTTCGTTTCTTCTTTAAGTTTTGGGGTGGTTGGGGAGAGGTACGAAAACGTTTGCTCCACTTGCTGCTACCCATTAGGTTTGTGATCGGAACGTGACATGTTCCCGGTCAAACGTATTAGATATTCCGTCGTCTGCTCTTATTATTATATGATGAATCTTGTTTACACAAAAACCACTCAATTACCAGAGCGTAAGAACTTGGTCCCGATCGATCACTAAAGTTTTCTCTCGTAAAATCTGACAACTGTGAACTATAAATAAAATATTAACAGTACAGAGAAGCAGCGAGTCGGTTATGCGTGGTATTAGACACTTTGTCGATAAATATTCTATTATTATTTGGACTTTAATGATTTCGGAATTATTTTCTACTTGAATATATTATGTTAGCACGACACTTATTAATGCGTCAATATTGCTAACCTGCATGATGATTACTTGTAGGTACGATTAACACATACTCAAGAGCTCAATAAGGTCGCTCCCCCCCTCCACGGCCACACAGCACCGAAAGATCTTTCATATATAATATTCCGTTATGACAGAACTATCTGAAATGTTGGACAAGTCCATTTTTGGTGGTATTTTTCCAATGCTGTTTCATCGTTATTATTATTTACAAATTACGAGTCCATATTTGGTATCCGAATTCTACTCACTAATATTTCGGCTGAGTTAACAGCTTCCACAAACTCGTCCGATTATTAAACCTCTATTATCCCCAACTAATAGGACTAATTATATTTTATTTTTAACATTTAGTTTTTCACTGCATCCAACAGGGCTCCATCACCATTATTCTGTAGGTACACGTAATATACGTATACAGTGAAAGTTGAGAAAATTATCGATTTATTATTCCTAAAGTAGTAAAACATAACAATATAACCATTATACTTTACTTAAAACAACACGAATTTCGTAAAATATTTAACTCGATTTAGTTAGTTAAATATTTTGATTGTGCTATTATTTCCAGTTAAGTATAGTGCTCCGCTCATCGTTTAAAATTATTTTATCTTTAGATTTTACCAACAGAAATTTTAGATAAAATATCTAAAACTAGGTAGCTAGAATGTTTATAATGATCATGAAAAATTCACCTAAAGAGCACTATATAAAGTTATTACTTTTGTTCTACAACAGTCTGCCTTTTGTAAATAACACTCGCATTATGTTTCTAAGTAGGTACTTTTGGGTTATCGTTGTTTTGTGGTAGGGTGTACAGATTATATTATTTCATAATAATGCGTTTTATACGTGTGGGTTTAAACATTTGAAATATAATAATATGCGTATTAACATATTATATATGCGTATTTTGTATATTATAATTGTATGTACATAGTACATGTATAACTTGGCTATAATTTTGTGTATTGAAAATAGATTTGAATATTATTATTAACGACTTATAACAAAGCTTATAATAATGGTTTTGACGTTTTTCAACGTTTCATTGAAATATATTTCCAATAGTTACTACCTAAAGTTAAAGTAATTCGTGTATTTTCTATTAAAGATTCTTGACTTTTAGCTCAACTATTTATTTTCCTCTGTTTAACATTTTACTGTGTTTGTTTAAATTAAAGTATAATGGTAAATAAATAACGTTCATCGTTCGATGCGTTTCTATTGACCAATACAATATTTTATTTATAAAACATTCAAATTTTTCCGAGTACAGCTTAAAAGTTGAAATGTTGTTAAGTACTTTACTAAAAGCATAAAAACTGTAATAATAAAATATTGATGTAAATATACACCCGGTGCTCAAAAAAAATTTAACGGCGTAGAACATTGGCAATAAAAAAAAATTTTAAGTACCCACCTTTGTACACCTATGAACAATTTTACAAGTTTTTCTTGAAATTCGTGTATTTATCTTGGTTGTATTTATTCAGGTATACCGTATACGTCCTGTAGGTATTTCTTATATATTTTTTATTATGTCTACACAAAAAGTAAAAACCATATACATACCTTAATCTTTTTACGTATGGAGAAAGTAACACTCCGTACTTTATTAACGGTTGCTTTTACTCTAAACAGTGTTAACTATAATAATACGAATTCGGGTATTCCTATCACAGTATACCGTATAGCTGCAGGTGGTATATAGTATAAACAATAGTATAAGGGAGTTAATTTAATATATTATATTATATATATATGGACAATTTGCATATAATATAATATAGGTATGAGGCGTTACGTGGCGAAGTCAGCAATCTCCACATTTGTTTAAATACATGTTTTGATCATATTCAAATAATACTTTTTACTCTGCGTCGATTGGTGACTCTGATTTTTATAATCCTTTTATATAATCCCCCATCGAGATAAAACTTTTAATACTAGCTGATCGCAGCAAATAGAGCGATCTCCAATCATAATACCATATAATACATGTTCTACGTTTCTGTGACAAAAGTGGCAATCTCCGTGGGTTCCACAGCAAATTTGACAAAGTCCATTTTCCCTCCTTTATTATTTAATGTTATCGACACTTAACAAATTATATGAATACAGGGAATAACACCAAACTCCAAATAAACTCAACGAAAATAAAATATCATGGAAAAATACAAGAAATAAATTTAAAACAGTTTTTCGACATTTACCAAAAATCACTGCGTTTGGAGATTGATGACTTTACCACATGACGCCTCATATTTATAAAACAAATTGTATTTTCAAATGAAAAATACTCACTATTATAGGATCCCGGGAAATTAAGTCTCGGAAAATAATCTTTTTTGATCCACGGTGTGGGATACTGACTGTATTTTATTTATTTATTTGTATTAATCTTCCATCAGACTTCCGACACCGAACGACCAGAATCTCGAGAAACCAGCTGACTATAGGCCACCGGTACCTCCTCACAGGACGCAGTTGAACAACGCGGACAGCATGATGATTGGCGACGGTGACGGCGACAATGACGAACAAGCGCCGCCACCCCCAAAACGGCAACACCATCACCACCATCACCATCACCGCAACCGCAGTCAAGGTGTGTAAACGTCTAGGCCCCAGTGGCTTATTAACTGTCCTATACTTGGGATCCGCATCTTTCAATGTTTCATTTGTATTTTTTCGTACAGGTGGTGGCAGATCTTCGTCGATCGCTGGCAACCATAACAACCCTAAACTGCCGGAGAGGAACTCCGACCCGCTGTTCGTGGAGTCCTGTAACCGGAGATCGATGGACGTGAAACGGGCGGCAATCATCGGGAACCCGATGTTTGCCTTCGATCCCGCGTCCGCTGACCAGAAACACCAGAACGCTGCAGGAGCCAGTGACACGATCAAACTCGACGACCTCAACCTCGGCATGGACTATAAACAGCTGATGGAGTACTTTGACAACCTGAAAGAGTCGAACGCTTAATTCGTCATTGCCCACCGCATGTCCGTGTGTCGTTTCGCACCCCCTACCCTGTTACCAGTAACCAATAACCATACCCACGCTCACACCACCGCAGTGGACACCTGCACGCGGCTCATTCGCTTTATCCCATCCTCGCCCCCGGCCGTCTCACTACTTCTTCCTCTATCTTACTGTCGCACACAAAAAGTCAATTAATTCAAAGGTTGTCGCTGTATAAACTATATATACACCCATATATAATAAAATACTATAATATTATACATAGGTACGCTCTATAGTAGTTGACACCAAAAAAGTTTAAATTTCAGCTTCAGTATTGTATTGAAAAAGGCGTATAACGATGTTAGCTGTTCTCACGCTTACGGTTGTGAGGTAAACTGTAACCCAAATTTCTACGGTAAACATTTTAAATTAGGTTCTTTTTGGTTGTTGGATACATGACGGTACCTAATGACTATATTATTATTATTATTATTATCATTATTACCTATATAAACACGATATCTATAGTCGATACATTATTAGCATTTGCTACAAAATATGTATCTTCTGAAATTTCTTTCTAAAGTAAACTTAGTTTATTTAAATTTATTTACAAAATATAATCTTATATTGATGTTTCGATCTATCTACTTAAGATTTATTTCTCGGACTTACATAATGAAAAAAAAATTAACTTCTAGTTTATATTATAATAATATGTACCTATTCAAACAAGCTTGCACAGTTTGTATGATAAGTTTATACAAAAACATTAGTTCCTTAACCTAAATTATTGTTAAAAATATTTGAATCGCAATAATATTACAGATAGAAAAAAAAAATTAAAATAAGAATAGATAAGTTGTGTTACATCTGTGCTAAATGATACCTTCGTTATTTCCTATTTTTTATATTATGTACGACAATTATTATTGCCGCTGTTAATAATAATTAAGTTTCCAATATTTCGCTCTACACGTGTTTCTCTGAATGTTCCTAATTTATTGTATCACTATTTTGATTATATTGTTTAAGCCATTTCCCTTTTAGATCAATATTATCATTAACCTAAACATTTTTGTTAAATTTAATTGTTGATTATTTTTAATTTTTTAGTTTGTAACCTATTATTGCTTGCAACATTATTTTATATACTTTTGTACATAATATTAAAATCTAACAATGTTTTTCAATACCTATTAATATCAAGTACTAAATTTAATATTTTAATGAATAGTTCAACGGTTGTAACTTGTACATTTATATGTTATGTATGTAGTTTTTTTTTTTTTTTTAAAACTATGATGGTATTCCATAATGAATTGCCCCCTTAAACTGAACAGTTACCACAGATATTAATATAATATATTTAAGCAATGCCTAATTACAAATAATTATATAAAATATTATACTAAACTAAAGTCACACATTAATGGTGAACATTTATACGCACATATATATTATTCTACAATATTCTAATTTATTTAGAAATGTATTTTAATCAAAACGTTCATTGTTTTAATTTCTCTGTGCCATTTTAAAAAAAAAAACATTCGTGACAGTATGATGGTATTATTTTTTATTTTTCTGTGATAATGTAAATAATATGATTTTGTTGGACAGACTTGCATTGCAGATTTTCGGGCATAACCTCATCACATGCTTCTAAACAATTATGACATATTTGAAAATTGTAATAACTATTGTTTCAGTAGATACCACCCAGTGCGTATTTTGTGCACATTGTGCAATAATACTAATACCAAAAAAATAGGTATATTACCTTGTTCTACTTACAAAAAAAAAAAACTGGGGAAAAAACAGTTTTCGAAACTAATCTAAAATCATACAGCCGTCCATATATTATATATGTTATGCAATACTTAATAAACAATATCACGACATTCGAGGGCTACCCGTTTGGACCGTCTTAGTTATAAAAATAATTATAGTATATATTAATAAGTTAGAAAATAAACACTAATCATTTTAATGTTTTGAACTTATATAGTGCAAACGAACTACCTATTAAAAAAAAAAATACCTATTATTTCTAGTCAAAGAATATATTGATATTATATTATATTATATTATATATGTATATTATGTTTAAGTCGTAGATCAAGTAGGTTGTATAAAAAAAAAACTATATAATATGTTGTTTGCCTTCTTTTTTTGGGACGCAGAAGCTTCCACTAATAAATTTTTACCCGTGTTTCATTTGTTTTGTGTATAAGTACTTTGCGGTAATGATGAAGCGCAGAAACGTCGTACGCGACACAATGAGACTGTTTTTTTTTTTTTTTTTGTGTAGAATTATTTTACTTTTTAGTATTATCTTTACCTTTATTTCATTATTATTATTTAAATTATAGTTTATTGCTTTGTAGAGTATTTTTTGAGCTCTGATCATTTGACTTTTTTTTTTCTTCCTTTCTATCTTTCTTTGTTTTTATTTTTCATTAATTTTCTCTCTTACATAATTCGGTCAACAATCTATTCAACAAATGTCAATGTTTTTGAATGTTTTACCTTCATATGTACCGGGTTGTGATCTGTATTGTCCAATTATCTCACCAAAATGATAATTTTTATTAGATTTTAAAGTAGAAGTAGTAGTTGACACACTACAATTTAAGTATTGTTATGTTGATGTGAGCAGATATTAATTTTAAATAAACAATTTATTAAACTTACTATTGGTTTTATTTATTGGCTTGTTAAAAATAATAAATATTAACCATAATGAAGTTGTATGACTGTTATGAGTATATTATAGATGTGCAAATCATACAAACTTGGGCAATTTTAGGTTTTAATTAATTATTTATTATACCTATATTGTTATAATATTATTATTGCAATAAGATTGATTTTAACATTACACTATTATTAGTTAATAATTACTTATTACTTTACCTATAAGTTGTGTTTAAATTAAATATTGTTGATTATTTGACAATGAATTTGGTGTATACGAAATGACAACTGTACTCCTTTCGTATAGTACCTACCTAAATAGCTCCTAATTGAATGGGACTGCGTATATCGTTAACTAATTATTAATATATTTAGACTTCAGATTTCTTTATACGCAACACTTATTTATGTGTTGTACCTATATAATTTGTTTATTTTTATGTTATGGCATTATTTGTTTGATTTGATGTTATGGCATTATATAGACTAGCTGCAAAGTTATATTTCATAACTAATTATAGGCAATTAAAAATCATAGAAATGATAATATTATTATCTCCTTAATTTGATGCAAAATCTTTGATACCATTCCGTTGCTATATAATTAACAAAACATTAAGTATGTTTAAAATAAAAAGAAATGTTAAATATAATATAATGGTCGGTACATACGCTGTTTTTTTTTTGATATTTAGTTTGCAATAATGTTTTATGATACAACCGATCTACAATACATATTACTGATACTTGATAGTTATTATTATTATCGTATTGATCAAGCAGACAGTACCTACAACACAATAAATAATTTAAATATTTAAACAATACTTGATTTAAATTAAAATCCCAAATACAATAAAATAATAATTAGTCAAATAAACAGATAAACTAATACCTATTGATCCAAGTACAATTCAATATCCTCAGGAATAAAGGCTGACTATCAAAATCGATTTTCGTATGCAATGGTTGTATTTTATTTATCATGGAATTAAAATCGAATACACAATATAATACAGTGACATATACCTATAGCAACCTACTCAATGTCGAGATGGATGCAAAAACTAATTGGTATACTTCCGACGTCCCCGCCATAAAATGGCGTATGTCGTACAACATCACATCACATACCCTTCGTCATCGTCACCGAGACAGCAGCTGATTGCTTTCGAATAATGAACATTGTTTCCGCTGATTTCAAACATAACACATATTGTATTATAATACACGTCATATTATGGAGAAACGTATTGTGTGAGTGTGCCTCGAGTACACGTGCCGATGTGAAAGACCACCGACTACGCGGGATAACACAAAATCCAGCCCTTTTGACATTACTCACCCCCTAAAGCGTGTGTGGCAATAATAATAAGCTATCATTTGTCGTGCAAGAGCCGCACAAAAGAACAGCGGTTTTGAAAAGGTCGTCGAGTCGCAGTATATAGCCGGGCTTATTGTTGTTGTCGGCGACAGTAATATATTTCACGATAAAGGCCGAAGAGTGTGAAATTTGGTGGCGATTTTACCGGACGCGAGTTAGGGCTCTTCCCTTGAAAATAACAACGTGGTTTTAGTTATTTTAACTAAATGAAATATTTTTGGATTATTTGTTTAGAATTAAAATACGAGTATAGGTACTTACTATTAATGAATGGAAGTAACTGTGGAGTGTATAGGGTGTAAGTGCCATGCGTCCACGACAGGTCATGTTAAATATTAGTATATGCTCTATAAATAGTGGTAAGTGTATTTTTTAAATTTAGATGTCCCTTATTGGAGGTGGCGTAGACCGTTTGGGCGAATCGACCCAAAAAAGTGGTCTGTTTAGGAGAATAGTTAGAGTATTTATTCCACAAAAAATACCGTTTAGAGGGCGAATAAATATGAACTATATGAATTGGTTTATAAGTAAATTATTTTTATGTAATATTATATAGTTACTAGCTGATCCCGTGCACTTCGTTACCCGTTAAATGTACAAATTGTATATGACTCAAACTTTGTTCAGGTGTATGATATTCTAGATTAATCTGAACTTTTCTGTTGCCCGGAATAAAAATTCTGATTCGCAGTAGTATATTATCAGGTAGGCAATCTATCTGCGGTAGATCGCGGACCCCGTGCTCGTGCTGTTTGTAATAAGTGTATGATTTAACTCTAAAGTATCAAAGTTATACCAAGTTTGTCGTTTTTACTTAATTCCACCTGAATTGGATTAATATAATCAATTAATACAAAATCCTAACCGTACTAATATCAGATGAATAAAAAAACCAAATTTAACCCTTTTAAAATTAGCTGATTAAAAGGAAAAA